GCAGGCTCCACCACAGGCTCTTTTCAATGGAGAATGTTTTTCCTAAATTTTTGCTCTCAGCCTCAGAAGTTTTTAAGCATGAAAAACTGTAAATAAATCAATCTAACCTAGAATTACAGCTTGCAGTTATTGAATGAGAGTGAAACCATGGTCAGGGCATTGGTGGAGGGATGAAGAGAATATGTAACAGCAATAGACCATTTTTGTGTTTGTAAACTGTGATGTTGGTTTGGTGAGCGGAGCCAAGCTGGTGGCAGAAAGTAAGAGAGCGGTAGCTAGAGTTAAATGGAGCTTCCGCAACAAAATAATACTGCTGTGTCATCAGAAAGTAATGGGCCATTTCAATAGTTTATCTACAGCAGACAATGGTGTCTTATAGTGAAAAGCTAAAAAAAAAAAATTGACTAACTATACTATTAGTAGTAGAATTTATAGCATTTTGTCACGCAAGTTTTCATTCTGTGCAATATTGATAATTTAAATATACAGAGGTGGAGAAATGTTAAGCGCACTTACCATATTTTAAAAAAGATCAAATTACATTTTGTTTTATGTGCACATTTACCCAGTCATTATGAAGCTACCTGTGGCTCTGCATTATATCAACAAGGGGAAGTTCTGTTTTTGTGACCTATATCATTAATTTTGCCTGTGTGTTATGAACAGCACCTTACCTGATATGAAATAAGCACTTCAGAGAAAACAGTTCTGGATGATTTCAACAGTACAGTCAGTCCGTTTAATGGCTTGCAACCATTAACTGATTTGTGCTTTTATTGAAATGGCATCCTCTGCGACGGTATTCCACAGAAATGCCATATCATATATATATATATATATCATATCGTTTTGCGTTCTCATTCTGACATCCAACATCTCATTATTATTGTAACTTTCCATTAGTTCAAATGAGACAGTTTGATGGCATTAACAATCACCTCATTCCAGCTGGTAGCTTGGTATTACTCTTACAGTTAAACTAATGAAGTTCCTAACCGGCCAGTTCTGGTACATCAGCCTCATTTGAGGATTTAATCGATCCGGATGTCACCAGTATAGTGTTGTTACACTGATCCAGGATTGGCCGGCTAATCCACCTGGCGTGTACCCTCCATGATAAAGAGAAGTCCAAATCAACTTGAGGGATTCACGGAGCCCAAAAGAAATCAGTTAGCTCCAGATAAGGCCTCTCCTCTCTGTACCCACTTAAAGCATCCCCACCTCCCTCGGCACATAACCTCGCCTCGCCTCTAAATCAAACAGTGAGGGCCTTTATTAATAGCCTGTCAGTGGAGTTAACATTTATTTCATGTGTATTCATCTGAGCAGGTTTTACAAATGGCCCACTGCTCGAGAACCTGCTCTTGAAAAATTAGCCTTGTTTTTTAGCCCTCTCCTCATGAATTTCAATGAATAAGTGAAGGTATGCCTTTGTGTCTACCTAGATGCTTTCAGCTTCAGGGTAAAAAAAAAAAATTAAAAAAAAAAATGGAGAACTGCTATATTAAGATTTCTCAGAAATATCTCTGCAGGTGGAAGATGTTAAAAATGAAAGGAAATATCATGGAACACTTGGGCTGAAAATTGTCCAAGATTTATTTGGGGTTTTTCTATAAATGTAGCTGATCTTGTCTCATGACACACCCAGGACACTGAATTGAATAACATCAAATGTTATCATGGCATCAGCACAAACATCCTATTGTTGTCCAAAGAATCAAATTATAGGTTTTCTGTATAAAATGTGTTCTCCCCCTTTTTCTAAAAAAATACATTGTATTAGAAATCACCACATTGTGACTCAAGTGATGGAGGCGTTACTCTCTGTCTGTTGTTGACAGATCTTTGCAAACAGAAGGGTTTGAAACTGAGGTGTAAGAGGGCAGTAAAAAAGAAGCATTGGTGCCACTATAGAAGATGCTATCTGAAGTTATCTAGTGGAGATCTCCCTAAACATTAGAAAAGCAGACAGCACCTCTCCACAAAATAGATGGTGGCCCATTATTTTATTTTCTGAATACCAAGTGTTCTCCCAGAATTGGCAGATCCAGAGAGAAACCTGGCGTGCTGACACAAATTGATTACTGGAGTGAACAGACAATCTATTTCTTCCTCTAAACTGATAGCAAAAAGCGACAGGATGAGAAAGGTCGGATGTATGAAGACCACAGACAAAGGGAAAGAGATGGAGGGAGAGATAATAGGATGGGGGAAACGGAGTGGGAAAAGCAGGATGTGCAAAGTTTTGTAACAACTTGCTATTTCGAAGACAAACATGCAAAAGGCAGTGTTTTGCAATGCAGATCCATTCAGTGATAGTGCTGTGCCTGACAGAACTTCAATCATAAACATATTACCAACCTTTGCTGTTTATGGAACTGCAGCCAAAAATAGAGACCATGCGTTAACTTCAGGGTAAAGCCTCTTTTCACTTATTTTTTTCTTCCCACTATTACAGAAGTGGAACACTGTAATAGTGTTATTGAAAGTCACTTTCAATAACAAGAAATTTAGTTGATCTTCAATACCAACAAATACCATTTTCTCATATATATTTAAGGGCCAATTCAACATTTGCTACAGGTTATACACAGGAATACAGCATATATACCCACTTATTTTTCATTCACCAGAGCGGCTACCCACTTCTAAATCCGCTCTGAGTCACATCATTCTGTAGTATGCTGCATTTGTTTAGATGATGATGGCAAAGGAATGGCCTGCTGTACTCTGTTTTTAATTTGATGATAACCTTTATTGCCTTGGTTGGTAATAAATATCAGGGTACACCAATCACATGCAGAGAAGAGCATTTTATTTTATTTTTTACATCTTTTTGTTTCAATCTGACATTGGAAATTTGCCAGTGACTTTGAAATCGCTTGAGATGTTATTTGGTGTAAGACAAGTACTAAAGAAAATACCCTATATCGCATTTACTCACAGAACTGGTTCAAATTAAAGAGAATTATGTAAATACATTTTCATTCTGTTAATGACTTATCGATTCTTAAAGTGTCACAAGAGCTGCATCACTCTTACTTTTGACGATAAAAACAGGAAAACTTCTAATGAAAGAGTATTTTTGTTTGCTTACTTAAACAGTCAACAGTGCAGCCAAAGATATAACAGCTTAATCATACTCAAGATGAAACCTTTTGTGCAGGGCCATATGGCATTTAGTTTTGCCTTGGAAAACTTACCTTAAATGGAGTGTAAATATTATTCCTGATAACACATCCGCCTATTCAAATATTAAGTCAAACTCCCAGCAGAGAACCTTATCACCCTCATGATTATTCTATCCTATTTCACTGTATTCAAGTCATAACACAGTCGTATTATTTTTCACGTCTGTTGAATTGACCCTGATACTCAGGCCATTTCTCACTGGACTGCAGTGGAGGTATATTTATGGACCCTCTGAGAAAAAAAGAAACTTGGTATTAATATGTATGTATGTATGTAATTTTTTTAAGGCCTCATTTCCCTGCAGCTTTAGCCAGACACATGCATCATAAAGTAGGGTATGTAGAAAGAACAAGGTCATGATAAGTATCAAAGTGTGTGTCTCTGGCTGACCTTAAAAAAAACTTTCAATGGGATGAACTAAATGTTTATGCAAGATTCAAGCAAGATTGATCCAGCAATATACCTTTGACATGATCATGAAGTACAATTATTTAATTAATGCCGCAAGGGAATTTAAATCCTCAATGTATCACTTCCTGGCTTTCAGAGCCAACTATCTTTTGGAGCTATCCAGAGAGCACTAATCTCTGCTCTCCATTCTTCATGAATATGACAGAATAGGTAAAGCTGCAGAGCCAATACATTTGTCCTTCAGTACATGACACCATAGCCTTACTAATGAGCCATTTAACAGCACAGTGAAGGGAACAGCAGTTAAACGAAAGGCCCCTTGTGGATTTGGTAAGAGCGTGTCAAGACTGGAGGAGACAGTAATACTTCACATTGACAGGAGGAAGAATGAATAATGAGTGGTTTTGCAGCTGTTTCAATGTAAGGCGGCTACCTCAACATTTTCACATGCCCCATCTCTCCCTGGAGGGAAGTAGCAACTTGCAGATCCCACTGCAAACTCAAATAATAGTTACAATCAAGTGGGACTTATAATGGGCTTCACGTTCTCTAAATGTACTGATTGGTATAAAAAAAAAAAAAAGTACTGTGCCTAAAGAAGTTTGTCCAATAATAGTTGACATTAACAAAAAACTGAAATAAAAACACACCCTAAAGTGCATTTTAACCTCATACCTAAACTATTTTTAATCACTCCTCCAAGATAAACCTGGAGCTTCATGAAAAAGACAGTTCTTGTGGTTCTCTGCAATAAAAGCTTATGATTATTTATGAGCATGAGTAGGCAGTACTCTCCGATGGGACTCCAGTCTGTGATCAACAGAAACTCTCTGTTAGTCATTGTCAGTGTGAGCCGGGAGCTCAGGGGACATAGTTAGGTTTCCTTTACAACACAACACTTGCATTCAGACTCCAAAGACTCATCTCCAAAGAGCCCAAAGCATATGGAGAACAAACAGAAAAAAGGCTACCTCTGGAATGCAACAGATGGCTGTCACTGATGTTGAAAGTCAGTCATCATTTTATCTCCGACAAATTCATGCAGCAACCTCGATTTTAAACGTTGGAGGGGGAAAAAATAAGCCAATTCCATCATAAATATTTCCCTTTGGCTACTAAACTCATCAGTAACACAGAGTACTCTATTTACATCCGACATTCAATGTACAAAAAGTTCAGAAAAACATTCAGAACTATTAAGAATTTGTAATATTTGCTTTATTTGATTTTTTTATAGGAAGTTTGCCACTCAACTACAGTGCAACCAAACCTGAGTAGTTTAGATGAAATACTTAACTTTTTATGATGATCCTTTCTATCAGGATTTTGCAAAGAAACTCATGCATTAGTCTTTCTGGTGTAACTTTTCATGATTTAGAGAAAGACATGGTGCATAGAGATATTACAAACAGACATCATTTAAGATCCTGGTTGGAGAGTATAGTAGATTATGTTTTTTTTTTTTATTAATACTGATAACACTAAAAGACATACAAAATCAAAAGAGATCATATAGGTATTTTCATTTTCTTACTATCAGACAGAGTATTTATATCAAACATTCTCAATTAGTGATACAATAACATAAAAGAAAGCAGGATGAGATGTTTTTAACGTTAAGATGTGCAGGACAAAATCGACAAAGAGGTTAGATGTGGTGATTTGTCTATATCGGTGCCCAAATAGATACAAACAGAACATTAGCGACAGAAGCATTAAAGTATCTTGAATGAGATCATCTCAATCTCATTTCCAGCAATGAGGTCTGAGCATTCAGCATATGTCAGAGTTAACCTCTGGCTTAACCTCCAAGAAAAACCACAGTCATGGCACGTTCATTAACCACAATCCATTGCTTTATCTGCATAGGCTACTTGTCCCCTTTACCCACTGCAGTCACATGTGAGAGACAAAATTAAGGACCGCTGTCAGTCAGCTGTGAATAATACATTAGATATCATGGCATCCCCTAACCGCTTGTAATTTATGTAGTACTCCCTTTTGAGAGCCAGACATTGAAAGAGATGCAGTAAGAAAGACAGCCTGAAAAGAAATTAAGCAAGAAAAAGGGTTGGCAGCAGGGAAACTGACAGCCCGGCATGCAAATGTGCCCATCTATCTTAGTGGAGAACACTGAGTGCGCTTTATCTCATCTAGAAGGAGCAGTTCATCTCTGCTAGACAGCCGTTTGGATGCAGCAGACTTAAAATGCAGGGCTTTAAATTGGATCGCAATAGTGCATCTGAACAAATGCTCGGGATTGCTCACCTCAGACGGCCTCTTCTGCACTTGCGCCTTTCGGTAGTGGTGACTTGAACCTGAGACGCAGGTTAAAGTGGCTACAGTTAATATGACCCAATTTATCTGAATATACTGTGTATAAAGAATCAGTAGCTGTGTCAATGTTTTGGTTGTGTGTTTTCCAGCGTGCATGCAAACTTGTCACAATGATTAAAAGGATAAAATTAGATATACAGTTTATTTATATATAGCTCCTTTCTTCTTGAGTGCTTTTGGATGTTCATTGGAAAGCAGGGTTGGCAGTTAGAATAGAATGGCTGATAGGGCTAAATCGTTTCACTCATCTGTTTGGAGGGGAGACATTTAAAAACTACAGCAGATTGCATCAAATATGCTTGAAAAGAGCTACCTTGGCTTGTTTACTGAGATTTGGGATTCGCCAAGAAAACTATTCTTAAACTCACCTTTTATCTTTAAAATACACACAAGTATTACAGGCATATGCATGCACAGATGGACCTAAACATGTGTACAAATACACCCACTTACAGTATGCAAATTTAAACACAGAAGGGTATAAGCAAAGGCACAGATGTGCTCACTAAGCTACTGTACATGAATTTTTAACATCACTCAACTGTTTTCAGTGTTTTGCCTGAGTTATGTCACAAATAAATATGCCCATGTTTTCAAACTTCTTACCGATAGTTTAGCATGTTCAAAAATCATCTACAGAATTCCTTATTTTTCTAGCAACAGCTTCAATATTATTTGGCTTCACGGGAGATTTTGCTGGCCTTCAATGCCTGGATACAAAACAATCTGTTTGCAGTTGTGCAGCTGAAAAATTGCTGACTTGAAGCAAAACACAAAATGTTGACGTATAAATTTACTGGAAAGTGCCTCCACATTGTACACTAAGTTTTTGTCTGCATGTTTGCACATCTTAAAATGTTTAGTTTTCAATAGAAAACCATTTAGTGTTTTGAAAAGTTAAAATATACATATAATTTAAAAATATGTTTATTATCATTATTGTTATTGTCTGGGTACACAAAACTGCATTTGCAGTTACTCCTCCAATATTTAGCAGCGCTTACCTGTTACAAAGGAAAGACTTCACTTGATGCCCCGGTGTCTTCTGATAGCATCGTGCAGAGTCTCTTGCGTTACTGAATGCATGTTTGTTCCATGGAGATCCACTGTACAAAAAGGAAGACAATTTGATCTTTTAAATTTAATGTTTTTGTGAGTAAAAAGAGAAGAGTAAAGTGTTAAAGCACTTTAGCAAGCTGAACATTCTGAAGGTTCAGTCACAAGCGTTCATCTTACACACTGTTTAGAGCCCTCGCTTGTCTTAAATTATATACAACACACTTAACATCTTTCCAGACCCTCTTATTGTCTTAAATTTAAAAAGTGCCCTGTGCTTTCCCCTGAATTATACAGCCATCTAAGTCAAATGAAATGTATTGTGAAAAAGTTCCACCGAAGTTTGTTGGGAGAGTAGTAAAGTTAGATTGATGTCACCAGGCAGAAGTGGATGATGGAGGCCAACAAGGGCAACATTGTCCCTCATCGCTGTGAAAGCTTAAGAGCATATTCTCATCTCATACCAGGAAAGGGTGAGTGGCAGGCTTGTTGGCAGTATTGGGAAGAGGTTAAAGAATCTAAGCACTATTGTCTTGTATGGCTGGTAAAATTGCCTGCTTCAAAAATGCCCAAGTTAGGAGAGAAGCAAGCAGTAACTTTATTTGGGTTGCATATTGGGTGTGGACTATTGGTGCAGATTAAAGACCTGTCAATCCAAAGATATTGTAATAAATGGCATTTATGATCCTAGTCCACAACAGAATCCAGAATTCAAATAAATCAATATAAAGTTAAGTTGATAAATGAAATATGATGTCATGAATCAGATAATATAAAGAATATTTCTAACCTTGATTTTGGCACAAAATATTTTGCAGATTTTTTTGGCTGCAGAAATCTATGTTTCTATTCAGCCCTTTTCCACCAAGTTCTCTAAAACCTTGATAAAAATGATTTCAGTGGACCACACTTACAACTAAGCTTTACTCTACACATGGACAATATATAAGTGTTGTTTAGTAAAGCACTTAAAGTAGACTTGATGGCTCAATTTAGAATATAAAAGTTTCAGCAGCAGGATGTAAGAGGGTATTCACTGTGTGAAGATATTGAAAACAGACTCGAAGTCAGGTTGGGTTCTAACCTGTTGTTCTAGCCAACATCCCCAGGTATCATCAGTAACTGGGGATGTTAGTTAGAACATGAGTTCTGAGGTACTCAGAAGTCAGTGACCTATGTCATGTCAAGACCAAGTTGTGCTTGATCATTTATTACTCATAGGTCAATAGGGCATGCAATAGGTCGCGCTGATGGTAGTTTTATTGTGCCATAATTTTGATCCCACTGTCAACTACTTCAAATGTTCCGTTTACCTTGAAAACTTAATTTGTTCTTTTCACAACTTTGGGTTGATAATCTGATTGTAGACATGTTATTAATTACAATGATTCTTTCTTCGCTATGAAATAAAAAATTGAAGGACAGTTTATTACTTTAAACATTTAACATTTTTTAATTTGCCCTGCAACTCTAACCACTGACCCAGGGACAGTATTTTGTAACAGTGATGAATTTACCCTTCCAATGAACCCATCTAGAGAAAAATACATTTAACATTTTATTTTAAAACTATTAAAAAAACATTAAAGAGTAACAACCGAGTCCTACAATACTCGAGAAAATGTACTTCTCCATACTCTTACTTTTTGGCATTGATCCTCAGATTTGGCCAAGGCTACGCCGTGTTCCAGCTAGCTAAAAAGGTGCACTGACCAGCCAGTGGTGACCATAATCAGCCAATGTTCATGATCGGTGTTTGGCCGGTCCACACAAGTAAAGCTGATTATGAGCCAATCTCAGATTCAAACACACAAGGCGTTTCATACTATTTACACAGCTATGCAAAGAAGGGCTGGGAATTTCCCACAACCCAGTGTTTCCCTCAGTGCTTCATAGTTAAGGCGGCGCTTTCAAAACCTTGGAGGATGTGAGATCCAACTGCAGCTCTGGATGCTCTGTTTACTCTCCAAGTACTAAACCAACCTGATTGTGCTACAACCTCTCTCAGCCAATCATTCTGCTGCTGTCAAATTTTAAAATGTGCTCTCAGTCTTCCGCAGGCAGTTTGTCATTTCAGTGCGATCGCTGTGACCTTCCTTCACGCCAGTCATCTCCGTTCCAGCTCAGCAGGGTTCAGATCCAGCCCCCTCAGAAGCCCACTCCTCATCCATTCCAGCATTCTTTCATCTTCACCACCACCAATGTCTAGACTCCATCCCCTTTGAGTGCATGAAGACATCATGACCAAGTCAAAAAATTGCACATGTATGTTTTCCTAAACCTGTTCATGAATAATTGCAGCGTAACCATAGCAACTCACTCATAGCTGCCTGTGACATGACAGAGATACAGAGAGAGAGTCAGACAGATGCGGAGTAGCTACCTAATCACTCTATAGCTTAAAGCACAGATTAATATGCCAGCATCCTTATACAAATCAACTCAACTTCAACTTTATTTGTCCCCGAAGGGCAATTGGTTTAGGCAGAGGCAGAACAAGACAGTAAAAAGACAAAAGAACATCCAAAAAGCCAACAAGGCAAAATGCAAGAGGCATTGAATAAAACAGTCTTAGAGAAACACCCAAAATCCTCGACTGAGGCTCTTGGATAACGCTTATTATAAAATTTTGGGTTCAGAGTTGTGGACGTACGTAAACAAAGCCCATTTCTACACTTTTGGTTTGAGATGGGTTAGGGTTGAATAAGGACTAAACTGAGTTTTAAATGCTTTTTTCAGCTTATTCATGTACAGCAGAAATCCTGTTAAACTATATTTGGAGGAGAAAGTAACAGGGAAGCTGCATTGGGATCGTATTAACTTATCTCCCTCAAATTTAAACTGGTGATTACCTTGTGTGTGAAGATCAGCATTATTATTCATTAACAAATGACTATGGTTTCATTGTTGGTAAGAAAGTCTCACCCTTCCCATGCTTTATTAGTGCACATAGGCAGGCAGAGGTCAACAGAGAAAAGTGAAAACCTAAGCATCATTTACCAAATGGAAGGCTTTAGAAAGAAACATAGCCTCTGTCCTGCTTCTCTTCCCACCACTCCAATAAATCAGTGTCATTGTCAGCGACAACGGGACAGTTTTCAATTTTAAAAAAGGCATCCCACCATGCCAAGGCAGGGACACATAAAATAAACCCCTAAACATATTCCTTTCTTGATGTTTCACTGCCATTCACACTGTCCAGGTGTTAAACTGCTTTCGTTGAGGGAGCCTGTAACTTTAAAATGCAGCCTATTCTATATGATGTGATTTATTTACAAACTATAAACTGGCATAGCCCCTTTTTTAGCCCCCTCTCACTTATTCTGATAGCCTGGAATGGTTGGATGCTGGGTAGTACACTTAGGCCTATTATTCACATGGACATTTTACTGAGTAAAAATGCGCTGACATATAGTCATAAAACATCCTTTACCGAGTAACTTTATTGTCATTCAAACTTGTACTTTACAGTGCAGATAAGAACAAAATTTCGTTGCATTTGGCTCGTTGTAGTGCAGGATAAAAAACAGCAGCATGTATTTACATATAAAAAATAAAAATAAGGTGCAGATATAAATAGATATAAAAAGAAAAACTATGAGTAAAATTACTATACAGAGTAAAATTAACGGCTGTGAACAAAATATTTTTGTGCTAGTTTTAATCTCAAAATAATGCTTTAAGTACTTAATGAATTTATTATAAGAACAATAAAGTAACTGTCACTACACAGCCGTGTTGAATACTTGATTATGATTGGCCAATTACTAATAACGACGGTCTGCTATCCCTGGACAGCATACAGTTACTAACAACCTTAACCAAGTCGGTTGCTAGGTACACGGCTCTAATCAAACTTACCCGCAATTTATAACAGGAGAACTACAAGATCACAGAGGGTGATTTGCTGCTCATTTAGGGCCTGTTTTGACGTTACGTTGATAAAGTGACGTTTTATACAAACCGGGATTCTGTATATTGTGTTTTTTTATTTTGAAATTGACCGGATTTTTTGGGCATCTCCTTGTCTGACTTCTTGTCCGGCTTGATCTATTCTGATCAGCTTGATGCATGTTTGCAGTGAATAAAAAAAAAATAATAATAGACTGACCGCTCTACTCTGTTTTAAAAAGGCAGAGTGGCGCTGCTGACCCTCTCCAGAGACAGATTGCAGCACTCGCCGTGGATACACAATCACTGACTTAAGTAGGCTGCGTCAGCGGTGTGTGAATGTGTTACAGGTAGAGTCGGTAGCATTCTTCGTTACAGCTTGTAAACACAATAGAAAAAGTTTCTCACTTTTCCTTTAATACTGATAACAGCCTCTGCCATCAATGTATGAATGTGATGTTATTGGGAAAGTTTGATCTGCATTGAAAAAAAAAACGCTTTGAGTAATCAGAAGACAAGAAAAGCACTTTACAAGCTCAAGTCCATTTACCATGATAATCAGTTCTGTATAAATCACAATTGAATATATGATGTAGCTCTGTATGAGGATAAGATTTCAATACTGGTCTCAATTCAGCCTGATATAATTTCTACACCCTATTATACATATTTTACATTTTTGGTGGTGCCTCAGATTTTCTCCACACAGTCAGCCACTCACTGCTCAGTATGGACAATGTCCAGAATTTCATGCTTTGCTTTGTCCTGTGAACACATCCTGACTACAGCATTGCAGACAGCTTTTCATTGCCGTCCTGAAATAAACAGGACACAGACATCTCCCCGCCTGAAAGGACGACTAAACTTAGCGCCTGCTGACTCCTGCTGTTATTCTTCATCTGCCTGAGAGCAAGCCCAGACTTGCAGAATATCCTTTAGCAGATTGAACAGCAGACTAAAACAATCATTGATTGCCCAGAGAGTGATGTCAAGAAGGAGGATTTTGTCTGTGCAGAAACAGCATAAGAAAGAGTTCAAAGTGGGTTTATGTGTTGTAAGCTGTTGCCTTTATTGTATTATTAACAGACCCCAGAGTCTTGTTTAGCTTTGTTGTTTTGTTCTGCTGTGCTTTGTTCTTCAACTACCCTGCTTGCGTGAA